TCTTTCAAAACATGGAATTGTACAAAGTAAAATATCAAGTTTGGATCACAGAAGTTTAGGCTTCTATAAAATTCATCAGCTACTTGTTTCTGCATGCAATTCGAAAACTTTCCATACACTTCCGATCTCAGAAAACATAACATGTGTAAGTATATTAATAATATATAAGAATAAAATATATTTTAAAACATATTTTAAACGTGACCCTGTACTTTTTTTGTAGAACCATCTCGTCCCTACAAGAACTAAAATGAAATAATTTAAAATACAAGGATCAAATAAGGAATGCTCTAAATAATTGATTTAAGCTTTTTTAATCGTAATTATTTTCAAGGAAGCCTATTGGGTGAGTTTTTGTTTATTAATTTTAGATTATTTCGGATTGGGCTGATTTCTAATAACCCTTCTTTTATTTATCTATTTCTCATGAAATGAAATTCCTTGCTCGGTTTCCTTATTCAAAGAGAGAGAACTCCAGCAATCATTCTCCAGGAGGAAATCCCTACCTTAATCGATTTCTAGCCCATCATAGTTTCGTCAAAAGATCTATGTAATAATAACATGAAGTTCTTTTGCAGATAAATACCATAGTTCATGATTAAAACACAATTTTCCCAAATATATCACAAGTTAAAATATCAACCTACGTATCATATATATATAATATATATATATATATATGTATGTATGTATGTATGTATGTATGTATGTATGTATATGTATACATACTTACCAGCCTACCCTACCTATGTCTCTATCAGTATACAGAAAAGGAGAGATATCTAGTGAATAAGGGCTTACAGTATTTAATTAGCTGCTCTTGAGCTAAACTCTCTAACCGCTGCTTGAGGGATTTGTTCTCCATGCTAAGAATAATATTTTGCTGGTTGAGAAATTCAAGCTCAGCTGAGACGTCAGAGCCCTCTGCCTATGGAATAACAAATTTGAGGTGTTCTTTGAGCTTTTACATCAACTACATGGAGCCACTAATTCATAATTTCATCATATACTGACCTGCAAAGCTTGTACTTTCCTTTCAAGCTCAGCTATATATTGAAGTTTCCGAACCCTTGAACGCTGAGCAAATTGCCTGTATAATTCTAGAACAGTTAATGCATTAAAAAAGAAAAGTGTAGAAATACAATAAAATTGTTTACTCCCATACCATGTTGAAAGATTAGAGACGATGATAAGTGTTCAAAGACAGAAATAGAGTCAAGGTGTGGAGATTTGATATAGAATATTATTTTTAAAAAAATGCATAACATAAAAATAAAGCCATAAAATATCATATAAAATAATGTCCAATAAGACATGGGTTTTATGAAAAACTTAATGACATAGATAACAATCTTCATTGAATTACAAATTCCTAAAAGAATTTAAAATACAGTTAATAAGTGGTAAGCAGGAAAAACAATAATAAGGCTGGACATATTCAATTAAAACAAGCACTGCAGGTCTAGATGTTAGCCAATTTTGAGTCCAGGGTATACATGAAAATACTAAAACAAAGCAAAACATCATATACATACTGTTTGGCACGTTTATTTTCGGTATCCGACCCGGATGATTTTCCATGAGACATGTCTTTCCTTTCAGAAGAGATTTTTGGATCGTGTGGACCAGACTCAGTTGGATCCTGTTTTTCACTTTCTGTAGAAAGCAAACCATCTGCCTCCTGCGGAGGGATCAATGGTCCCGAGGTATGAACAACAATGTTCTCCCTGGGAGAACGAAGAGCCATGGGATTATTCATGGCAGACAAAGATGATTCCCACACCCTATTCTTCTGCTTTGTCACATTCGCTTCAGTATAAAATGAAGCATGCCTTGCATCTCTCTGACGATCAAATTCTTGAGATAACCAAGAGTGTCCAGGAATAGAATTTGTATATTTGAAGTCTTCTTGCACGATACTATCAAAATTAGCATTAGCAGAATCTGTATATGCAAAGGAGTCACTTGATGAACGTCGATGACCAACTCTGCGAACAGGGGTCTCCGGCTCATTAAGAAGATCTTCAAGCCAAGAAGGCTGCTCCTCTATTAGAAAGCTTTCAGAAGAAGTTCTTTGATGGTAGCTGTTACCATCTCTTGGTCTCTGAACAGCTTTTGCTCCAATTGCAGTATTGGGAACATATTCAGTATATGATGGAGAAACACTAGGGAAAGGACTTTTAGGAGGGAGTAGTGCATGTTTTCCAGAACTCATAAAATTTCTGACGTTGGATGACCCTTTTGAAGTTGCCATGGTATAAAATTCGAGAAATTCCTTTGCCTGTAACATGATGAGAAATATCTCAGAAACAGATAAACATGGACAACAGATTAAGGTTAAGAAGCAATAAAAGAGCAGTCCAAAAAACATCAGCATGTATAATTAAATTCTTCGCTGATATGCAAGAATAACTTGTTACATTCATAATTCATCAACATTTTTCCATGGGAACATTCATGTTGCTCGCTCGAATGCAAAGCAGTTCTCTGAAACCATGAACTATGCCACGAAGTGGCACTGAAAAACAGAGGACATTCGATAGCAGATCAGCCAGAAAAACATCAAGTAGTCAAAAGGCTGGAAACAATAAGTTCACTAACTATGATAAATTGAGGGTACCCAACCAAACAAAAAGTATCAAATAAAAGTCGAAAATCTTACACAACCACACCTGCCAGTAGGTCCCAAAAACCAAAACCATTTACCCTTACCCAATAGTTAAGTAAGAACTAGGCAGAGAAGATTAATACCGATCATTATCTTCTCATCTAAATAGTAACATCAGATGATTCTGGAGAGAAAGATGTAAAATCCTCCCATTTGAATTCCCTCCCACATTTCCTCAGCAACCATAATAAAACCAGAATGATGCATTCAAAAATAAAACGAATTGAAAAACAATTCCAGCGATGAGAAAAATGAAGAAGACAAACAAAGAAAAAAGAATCAAGATAGGAAGGGTGGACGAGAAAGGAGGCGAATAAAAGGCAAAAAAATCAGAACAAATTCAATCAAATGCAAGCGGGAAAATGGGAAATAATTCCTCTGTCATGTAGAAACAGAAGGAAAACAGACGAGAGACAGAGAGAGAAGGAGAAATTAACCTTGGTGGCGACGGAAGAACGAAGATCTTAGTAGAGTAACGCGAAAAAGGAATGAAATCAAAGCGAAAATGATTTCAAAATTCACCTTCTTTCTAGGGTTTGTATTTCCAAATTCCACCCCCACCTCTCAAGATGCTGAGCTTCCCTCTCTCTCTCTGTCTCTCTCTCTCTCTCCCCTCTTTTCCCCCAAGTCTGAGACTGAAATTAAGTGGCAGGAGACTTGGATTGAAAATTTTAATTAGAATAATTAAAAGTAATAAAAAAAATTTATAAATTATCATTTTCCAGCTTTTTTTTTTTTTTTTTTTTTTTTTTT